CTTCTGCCCCCCGCGATGGGCGATGGGGGAGTCATCGCAAAACATCAGTTGCCAAGAACCCCTTGCAACAAATGGGACGAAGTGCGCGCGCGCGCGTCGTCGCGCGCGCATGCCGACATCCTTCAAAGACTTGTTACAAAATCGAATGGCCCGAACACATGCAAAACACATGGTTTCGCAACGCGAATTTCCAAGAAAGCTTGCGCCCGCTCTCCTGCGAGTTCACAAGGCAACCATCGGCTGTTCGACATTTTCATAACATGCTACCAAACAGGCCTCTCGCGCGCGCATGTCGAAATTATTCAAACGCCCCTGCGTGCATGCTGTCGCAATAACCCTTTTCAAGCAACGAGACGAAGTGCGCGCGCGCGTCGTCGCGCGCGCGCGCCGAAATCTTTTAAAAGTTGTGGGGCGTTCGCGAAGATTTCAGATTCGAGTGTTCTGGACATACAAACATGGTTTAGCAACGGCAGTTTTCAACGAAAGCTTGCGCTCGCGCTTTTGTGAATGCTGGAGGAAGCCGTGGTCTTATGCCATTAATTTCTGGACGCTTGGCGTATCCCCACCATTTTCGCTGGCGCGTTCGCCTGCGGCCGTAAACAAAAAAGTATCCCCACCATTCCGTAGCCCCCTCTGGCTCAAGCCGCCTTTGGCTCAAGCCATCTCGGCTCGAGCACGCCCCCCTTTCAGGTGCGCGCCTGCCAGGACTGCTACTTCCCGGCCGCGATGGCTCTGCATTCGTGGGACTGGAGCGGCCGCGCTGCCGCAGGCTCTTCCGGCCGCTGGCAGCAGGCAGGAAAGCCATGGGGCCGAGGGCGCCCCTCTGACCATTGGGCGGAGGCGCAGCCTCCCTCGGCGGGGCGGCGCCGCGGCCGAGGGCCGCCTGGCACGCCGCCGCAGGCTGGCCGCTTCCGGAGGCCGCCGGCCGGCCTCCGACGCGGGCGGGCCGCGGTACAGACGACGCACCCCAGGCGCAGTCCCTTGAGACTGCCTCGGCACGACGCAAACGGCAGCGTGGTGCGGCTGCCCTGCGTTGGAGGAAGGAGCAGCTGCCTCTCCACGGTGCCGCCAGCGCCGCCGGCGCCGCGGGCGCCGGGCGCGACGCTGGCGCCGCCGCCGCCCCTGCGGCCGCCGGCGCCCGCGGGCGCCGCCGGCGCCGCTGGGGCCCTGGGGCCGGGCCTGGCTCGGTGGCGGCGGCGGCGCGCCGCCGCCGCCCCTGCGGCGCCGGCGCCGCGGGGCGCCGCGCCCCCCACCGCCGCCGCCGTGGCGGAGGCGGCCGCCGCGGCGCCGCGGGCCACGCGGCCGCGCGCGGCCGCCGTGGCCAGCGCGGCCGCCCTTGGGCCCGCCGCAGCTGGCGCCGCCGCGGCCGCCGCAACCGCAGGCGCGGCGGCGGCGGCCGCGGCGGCCGCGCAGCAGCAGCAGCATCCGCTGCAGCTGCGCCTGCAGGAGCAGCAGCAGCGGCAGCGGCGACAGCAGCAGCAACAACAGCCGCAGCAGCGACGGCAGCAGCAGCAGCCGCAGCAGCAGTACCTGCAGCAGCAGCCGCAGCTGCAGCAACTGCAGCAGCAACAGCAGCAACAGCAGCAGCCGCAGCAGCAGGGCAGCAGCAGCAGCAACAGCAGCAGCAGCAGCAGCAGCAGCAGCAACAACATAACCCAGCAGCTGCAGCAGCATCAGCAGCGGCAGCAACAGCGGCAGCACCCGCAACCACAGCCGCAGCAGCTGCTACAGGTGCTGCAGCAGCAGAAAAAAACACAAGGGAAGGGAACGGAACGGGTCGGAAGGAGGTACCCCCGCTCCCTGACGCCCTTCCGGGCACCCCTGACGGCCAGCAGACTGGGCAAGAAAACGCAGGCGAAGAGTCTTCAAGCAGTCTTGCGGCAGCCAGCGGCAACCCTGGCGAACAGAGACCCACGACAGCTCAGACGGCCGTCAGCGGCACCCCTGGTGACGAGGGCCCCACAACACCTCAAGGCACTCCCTCCGAAGGTCATAAGGAGGTACCCTTGCTCCCTTTGCAGCAGCAGCGTGGCAGGGAAAAGGAGAGGGGGGCCGTGGCGGAATGGGCGGAAGCGGCGGAGGCCGCGGAGTATCGGGGGCCCGAAGCGGCGGGGGCCTTTGAAGGTGCGGAAGAGGCACGAGCCGCCACCCGTGTCCCTGGGGCAGGAACGGGTGGACAGGGGTTGGCCCCCGAAAGTGCGGACGACAGCCGCGACAGTTCGCTAAGCGAGATCCTGGGCCAGCAGGGGCTCGCCTGCCACGTCGTGCCACCCCCACCTCCCCCACAACATAAGCAGACCGTCAGCAGTCCTCCGGGGGCGCCGCAGACCCAACAGGGGGGCCGCGGACCAGCCGTTCAGACGCAGGACATCGAAGCCATCCGCCGGCTCGTCGGGAGAAACCCTTTCGCGCTTATTCGCCCCCCTTGCCCTGCGAGTGAACCCGCTCTAACGGGCGGCGAACCTCGGGCGCTCTCTCCAGACGCCCATGGCACGACTGACGAAGAGTTTTGTGCTCTGGCAACGGAAACGTCGTCGCCGCACGTGCGCGTTCTCGGCGCGACCAGCGGCGCCCCTGAGACCGGCGAGAGCCCCGTGTTGACCGAAGGGGGCGCGCCCGTGAGCGACGGCGGGCACAGGCCCGATGGCGAATGCCAGCGAAAGGGGCCTCTCCCCGCACACTGCAGGGCAGCGCCCGCCCGGACTGCCGGAGGCGATCCGGCCCCTGCCTGGCGGCCAACTCTGTGGCCCGCATCTCCCCGCAGGGCCCCGCCGGGCGTGCAGCCGGAACTGTCGCGAGCAGATTGCGGGCCCTCTGGCCAGGACAGCGGGTCCGGTTCGCCGGAGACTTGCGGCCAGAACGCGCGGCAGCGCCAATGGCCAGGGCCGCGCCAGTGGCCAGGGCCCTCTGACCCCGACACGGGACAGCAGCTGTACAAAGCAAAGATCGGCAACGTCCAGTGGGACCTTCCCGGGGAGACACCCGGCGAGGCGATGAGGCGGCTCCAAGTCACCCTGGGGACAATGTTCACAGGCACCTGGCACGCTTTCGCTAAGCAGCAGGCCGTGCCTGGCAGCAAAGGCGCGCTCGACCCGCTTCGGCACGACCCGCAAACTTGCCTTCGCTTCCTGGACTCCTTCCGCAGCCACAAGTGCGACGTACGGGCCGTCAGCGACGCGCTTGGCCTTGGAGTCGACTGGGCACGGCTGCGGCATCAGCGCCCGGGTCGAAGCGGCGGAGCGAGCAGGGGCCACCATGCGGCCAAGGGCCACCCGGACACCCGCGCACCCAGGAAGGGCAAAAAACAGTGGCTGGTCGTCTCCCCACAGTGGCCGTTGCGGCCCCACGTCGTGGCACCGCGCTGGCTGTGAGGGATCCCGCGTGCCCCTATCCAGCGGCCATCCCTGGGTGCCCGTCCCGTCGCCCCCCCCGGCGGGGAGGGGCCCGCGGGGCTCAAGGTGCCCTGCGTCCCGGTGCTGTCGGCCAAGGACCGTCTGCCTCCTCCCCCCCGTGCTCGCCCCGTCCCCCCTCGTCTTCGCCCGATCCGGTGCGGCGGTTCCGCGACCCTGGATTCGCGCGAGGAGCAGCTGAGACTACGGGCACGGCACCTCCTCCCATTCTTCAGCCGCGGTCAGCGGCTCCTTGGGGGTCCGCAACACCACGCCCCCCCATGGATGCGTCGGGCTTCGGGGTGGCAGCGCCGCCCCCTGCGTGTCAGTCCACTGGCTGCTGCCTGCCCACCTTGGACCACACCAGCAGTGGGAGATCGGCCGTTCGGTACTACTCTCGTCTCAGCGGCGGTTTGCTGCGCCCCCGGATGCCCCGTCCAGCCCTCAGCGGGGCTGGCTGCCCACTCTGGGCCTCTCCAGCCTGCCTCCCGCGGGAGCTCGAGGTACTCTGGCATCCCGGTGCTGTCCGCCGGGCCGTCTTCTGCCTCCCCCCGTGGGCACCCCGCGGGAACTCAGGGTACTCTTGCATCCCGGTGTGGTCTGACAAGGGCCGCCTGCCGCCTCCGTGGGCGCTCCGTCTTCGCCCAACCCAGACCGGCGGTTTGCCGCGACCCTGGATCCGCGCGGGGAACACCTGGGACTGCGGGCACGACGCCCCCTCTGTACACTTCAGCAGCGGTTAGTCGCTCTACAGGCTCACAAGCATCAGCGGCGGTTAGCTGCGACCCTGGAGGACCGCAACGCGACCCTGGATGCACGCGGGGGGCTGCCGAGGCTACGGGCCCAGGGCCTCCCGCGGGGGCTCGAGGTGCCCTTGCATCCCGGTGCTGGCGGCCAAGGGCCGTCACTCGCCCCCCCCCCCTGCTCGCTCCGTCTTCCCTCCACCCAGGGCGCGCCCCCCCCCCCCCGCCCCCCCCCCCGTGGACGCTCGGCGTTTGCCGCGTCCCTGGGTCCATGCGGGGAGCTGCAGAGGCTTCGAGCACGAGACATCCCGCGGGTGCTCGAGGTACTCCACGCGGGGAGTAGCAGAGACTACAGGCACGAGGCATCCCACGGGGGCACAGGGTATGCTTGCCTCCCGGTGCTGTCTGACAAGGGCCGTCGTGAGGTGCGAGGTGCGAGCTGGACGTTGTGAGCTACAGCGCTGGGATCAGCGCGTGCGCCAGGGGTGAGCAATGGCAATTCGCACTGTCGCTGCTCAGTGGGTGTCAGAGGTTGAGTTGGAGCGCAACGTTGTCAGCGACGTCGCTGGGATCAGTGTGTCAGGAAGACGGGGAATGGCAACATGCTCCGGCGCTATTGCCGGTCTGTGGGAAGCTAGGAGCCCGCTGTCATCAGTTGCAGCGCTGGGGTCAGGTGCGAGAAGGGTGGGCGCTGGCAGCGGGCCCTGTCGCTGCCAAAATGCGGCAGGCGGCATTGGGGCCCAACGTGATCAGTTACAGCAGTGGGATCAGAGTGTGCGTGAAAGGCGGACAATGGCAGCAGGCGCTGTCCCAGCACGGCGGGTGTTGTGCCGCGAAGTTGGAGACAGACGCCATCGGTGCAACGCTG